CCAATCATGATAAAAAAGTAAAATCACATGACAGTATTAATCATTCACTGCTGATGGGAATGCGAAATGGTACAATCACTTTGGAAGACAGTTTGGCAGTTTCTTACAAAACTAAATATATTCTTACCATATGACCCAGCAGTCACACTCTTTGGTACTTACTCAAATGAAATGAAAACTTATGCCCATACAGAAACAGATGTGCTTTCTTCAAAATTGTCAAAACTTTGAAAACAACCAAGATGTCCTTAAGTAGGTGAACAGATAAGTAAACTGCAGAACATGCAGACAATGGAATATTACTCAGTCCTAAAAAGAAATGAGCTATCGAGCCATGAAAATATATGTAAGTAATTTAAATGTGAGTAAATTAAATCTATAAATATGTAAGTAAATTAAATCTGCTCAATGCATTATTATGTGAAATAAGGCATTTTGAAAAGTTACATAACGTATAATTCCAACTCGCTGACATTCTGGAAAAGGCAAAACTATGGAGACAGTAACAAAATTCAGTGGATGCCAAGGGTTAGGAATGGATGATTAGGCAGAACACAGAGAATTTTTAGTGCAGTGAAACTATTCTATATAATATGACTATGGTGAATACACATCATCATACATTTGTCCAAAGCCATAGAATGTACACCACCAAGAATGAACCCCATGGACTATTGCTCCAAGATTAAACCATGCACTTTGCGTGATAATGATGTGGAAGTGCAGGTTCATCTACTGTAGTAAGCGCATACAGGGAAGTTGTGTAGGGCGGGGACAGGAAGATGTAGGATCATTCTGTACTTTCTGCTCAATTTTGCTGTGAATTGCAATGGTACTAAAAAATAAAGTTCATTATTTTTATTTTTTATTTATTTAGAGATGGAGTTCCACTCTTGTTGCCCAGGCTGGAGTGCAGTGGTGCAATCTCGGCTCACCACAACCTCCACATCCCAGTTCAAGCAATTCTCCTGCCTCAGCCTCCCAAGTAGCTGGGATTACAAGCATGCACCACCATCATGCCTGGCTAATTTTGTATTTTCAGGAAAGGCAGAGTTTCTCCATGTTAGGCTGATATCAAACTCCTGATGTCAGGTGATCTGTCCACCTCAGCCTCCCAAAGTGCTGGGATTACAGGCGTGAGCCACCACACCCAGCCAAAGTTCATTATTTTTAAGAAACATCATCATAGTATTTGCAGGAAAAAATCTAGAAAGACTGAGGTGTGTTTTGTTTTGTTTTGTTTTGTTTTGAGACGGAGTCTTGTTCTGTCACCCAGGCTGGAGTGCAATGGCATGATCACAGCTCACTGCAACCTCCACCTCCCGGATTCAAGCATTCTTCACCTCAGCCTCCCAAATAGCTGGAATTACAGGCGCACACCACCACACCTGGCTAATTTTTGTTATTTTTGTAGAGACTGGATTTCACCATGTTGGCCAGGCTGGTATTGAACTCCTGACCTCGTGATCTGCCCACCTCAGGCTCCCAAAGTGCTGGGATTAAAGGTGTTAGCCACTGTGCCTAGTCATATTTTTTATTTCTATAATAAAGATTAAGAGATACAGGGCCAGGCACAGTAGCTCATGCCTGTAATCCCAGCACTTTGGGAGGTCAGCGTGGGCAGATCACAAGGTCAGGAGTTCGAGACCAGCCTGACCAACATGGTGAAACCCCCCACTCTACTAAAATACAAAAATTAGCCAGGCATGGTGGTACACACCTGTAATCCCAGCTACTCAAGAGACTGAGGTAGGAGAATCGCTTGAAACCAGGAGGTGGGGTTGCAGTGAGCTGAGATTGTGCCACTGCACTCCAGCCTGGGCGACAGAGCAAGACTCCGTCTCAAAAAAAAAAAAAAAAGAGATAGATATAAATATACAAATTCACTTACATTCCTATAAAGAAGCAATATAGAAAAGAAATTGGGAAAGTTGCTTAATAAACAACAGGTATGCAAGGATTTTACAAAGAATATTCCTTTTTTTTTTTTTTTTTTTTTTTTTTTGAGATGGAGTTTCACTCTGTCACCCAGGCTGGAGTGCAATGTTGTGATCTCGGTTCACAGCAACCTCTGCCTCCCATGTCAAGCGATTCTCCTGCCTCAGCCCCCTGAGTAGCTGGGACTACAGGCATGTGCCACCACACCCAGCTAATTTTTGTATTTTTAGTAGAGATGGAGTTTTACTGTGTTGGCCAGGCTGGTTTTGAACTCCTGACCTTGTGATCCACCCATCTCAGCCTCCCAAAGTGCTGGGATTACAGGCATGAGCCACCGTGCCTGGCAATTCAAAATTTTAAGAAGCTGTGCAGTTAATTCCTAAATATCTACTTTGGTTCAGCATCAGAACCATCTGGTAGTTTGTTAGAAATGCAAATTCTGGCTGGTCTGAATGCAGTGGTCTTTACAACTAATTGATTACAACTAGTTATAGATTGATTGAAAAGGTGCTTAACCTTTTCAATTAATCAAAATTGATTAATGCCAATTTAAACCACAAGCTACCACTGTACACTCTTCTGATAGGTGAAAATTATGATGTCCAACAGGCACTTACTTATTGTGTTTGTGGGAGTATAAATCAGCAAAGGGTCTTTGGAAAACATTTTGGCATTACCTAGTAACACAGAAAAGGTGCATTATCCTCTAACTTGGCAATTCCAGTCCTACATATATATCACAGAGAAACTTGTGCCAATATTTATCAGATACAGGCACAGTAACAATATCTCTAAATTTGCAAACAACTTAAGAAGCCCCCATTAGTAAGATGAATAAATTGTGGTATACCTACTTGTACAATGAAAAAAAACTATTAGAGCAATTAGATTTAAAATGTTTTAAACTTTTTTAAAAATAGGATCTTGCTCTGTTGCCCAGGCTGGAGTGCAGTGGTACAATCACAGTTCAAACTCCTAGGCTCAAGTGGTTCTCTTGCCTCAGCCTACCAAGTAGCCAGGACTATGGACACATGCCACCATGCCTAGCTAGATTTTTAAAAAATTCTGTAGAGACAGGGTCTCTCTCTGTTGCCCAGGCTTGTCTTCATCTCCTGGCCTCAAGTGATACTCCCAACTCGGCTTCCTAAAGTATTGTAATTATAGGCATGAGCCACCATGCACAGCCAAAAACGTTTAAAAAGTAATTTGGAGACACAAATCAATATAATAAATACATTATAAATCTTTCTATATAAAGTTCACGAACACACAAACCTAAACTATAGTGAATAGAAATGCAAACAGCTGATGAAACGATAAAACCAAGGAAGCCACTGTACCATAAAAGTAAGGACATGGTTACCTATATTGGAGGATGAGGGTGAGCACACAGAAGGCTCAAGGAACTTAGCATGTTACGTTTATTGACCTTGGTTGGGTGTTTGCCTTATAATAATTTATTAAGCTGTACATTTATGTTCATGTATTACTTCTGTGTGTCATATTTCACAATGAAAAGAACTTTCAAAATAAGATACTGGAAGGAACACATAAAAATTGCAAGACTGTTAAAGTGTTTGTAGTAGAATTAGAGGCAACTTCCATGTTTTCCTTTTTCCTCACTTCCCTTGTACATACTTTTATTGGTTTTATTTTTTAATCAAAACGGACATTTTTCCTCACTCACTCACACTTAAAGGAAGTTTCCCTACACTTGTTCCACCTCTTGGCTTCAGCCCACATTAGTACCTCCTTCACAAATCCTCCCTACATTCTCCTAAGGGACTCTACAGCATTTCGTATTAACGACCACTACTCTCCTTAAAGCGACAGCTCAGTTTTCATGGCACCTGTTTCATCAGTCCTAAGCTGCTGCCTCCTAGAATGTATGCATTCCTCCTTTTTCTCTAAAAACCAGTGTACCTTCATTAAACATTTGCTAAGAATCAACTACAGAACTTGCAGAACTTACAAAATTCTGAATTTACAGAATTCATCACCTTTTCTCCAAAACTGACCCTTTTTCTGTCTTTTGTTTCTCTACTACTATCTGTATCCAAATTATCCAAGCCTAAAACACCAACTGGAAATTCCTTTTTTCACTGCTGAACTACTAATGTGAGGGTATCTAATGCAAGTTATTTAGACGCATCACTAGACCATTAATTCCTTGATAGTTATTATACTTTCGTATGTCCGCTAGTCTCTGTGGCACTTAAAAGGAAGTCTTAAGATTTGACAAGACTAAAATTTCTGTAGCTATTGTTAAGAGTGTATGTGAAGGAATAAATAAATATCAGTTAATCAAACAGTAATAAGTTAATTTTTCCAAGGTGATTAAATAGAACAGCAATATATGTACTTTTTAATTTTGTTTATTTTTTTCTTTCTCAGGTTGAATTTAGGCAATACAAATATATGTCAGTTTGAAGAAAGAAAGGAAGGAAAAACCAAAAAGAAATGAAATTAGACCAGACAGAACAATGGAAACAAAAACGGTATCTGTGAGAAAGTACAAGGTGAGAACTGGTTGAGTATGTTAGCTGTTAAGTAATATAGAAGAAAAAAAAAAAAAGAGAGAGAGAGAGAATTGGATACGAAGCAGTCCTTTATGGAGCTGTGGGTGAAACTTCAGTCTTTATATCTGTTTTCTTTAAGGAAAGATTTTCCAATCAACATATTAGAAGGTATTGCTGGCCGGGCATGGTGGCACACGCCTGTAATCCCAGCACTTTGGGAGGTTGAGGTGAGTGGATCACCTGAGGTCAGGAGTTCAAGACCAGCCTGGCCAACATGGTGAAACCCCATCTCTACTAAAAATACAAAAAAATTAGCTGGGCTTGGTGGCAGGCACCTGTAATCCCAGCTAGTCTGGGAGGCTGAGGCAGGAGAATCACTTGAACTAGGAGGTGGAGGTTGCAGTGAGCCAAGATCGAGGCATTGCACTCCAGCCTGGGCAACAAGCAAAACTCTGTCTCAAAAAAAAAAAAAACTATTGCTTTCTCATTGACTAATTGGGTTGTTTTTAAAAAAACTTCCCCATCAGCTTCTAACTCACTCACCTGAAAACAGATCTCTTTTCACATCCCTTTTCCCCAGCCAGGGCTCTTTCCCTTGCTCCAATAAGGAAACCACATCTGGCTTAGAAATGGAAAGACCTGCTTGCAGAAAATGAAATAAATTCAAAATCAGTCCTTGAATCCTAAGAGGGGCCATAAAAGAAATGTCAGATTAAGTTTTTAAAATGTCTTAAAATAAGGTGCAGTTGCATCCCCATCTTAAAAACTAATTTTAAGAAACCCCATACCTCCCTTGGGAATACTCAGCCAGATAATTATGATTTGTAACAGCCACCCTAAAAGTCAAATTTTGACTTGAGGGAGGTGAAGGGGAATACTTACCCAGTGAGACCAGATGGCCGTAGTTCTCCAGCATTACACATCTGTACAAATCTCTTTGAGCAGGCTGAAGCCATTTCCACTCCTCCTGGGAGAAGTCTATGGCCACATCTCTGAATGTCACTGAACCCTGAAATGACACAGATATTTGCAATGCTGGCACCCATGTCCCCAAAACCCCTTATCAAGGAATAAAATGAGTCTCGCTGTAGAGGTTAGACCATGTGTCTAGTAACAATGAGTTTTCAGAATTCTGAGTAATTATATAATGAAGAGCCTAGCTTTTGTGTTTCATTGTATAACTGAAAAAAAAAAGGAAAGGAAAAACTTATCTGTCCTGAGATAATTTACAATTTTTGTTTGAGATAAAAGATTATACACATGAATAACATGGATATTTAATACTGATTGTAAAAATTCTTAAGATTTTGTAGTATTCCTTTATGTTTAATAAGCAATGTATATTTTCCTTAATACCAGCCTATTTTAATATATTTCAACCAGAATTTCTTCAGAGTAATAACTGGCTACAGCAGATAACAGCAGCACCCTTCAAACGGAGCATACAGTCTCAAGTTTGTCACAGTCATCCCTAATGCTGAAGAAATACCTGTGAAACTTAATGGTAATTTTAGCAATGTCATATAACAAGGAGGATAAGCAATAAAGAATGTTGATTCTGAAAGAAGAGAATGTAATAGCCCCCAGGACAGACTTAAAGCACCTTCCCTCAGAGTTAGGGGGAATAATATATAAGCCCTTTCTTTCCAGCCTAGTTTTGCACAACTTGAGTGATCCACATTAATCTATGAAGCATGAATGGGAATTTAAAACGTCTCAAACTAGTAGCAGCCTCAGATGTACAGCAGTTACATTTTACAGTTTTGAAGTTTAATAAAAAAGTGATTAAAGACTGTTGACTAATAAAGCAACTGTTTCCTAAACAGCAAGATCCGAAGCAGAGGTGGAAATCAGATTCCCCAGCAAAACTCAGACAGCCTCTGAATTTGGAGAGACGTAGGACAAAGAATAGGACCAAGCAGCGGAACTGAAAATGCGGGACTCATTCTGAATAGCGGACCCTGTTATCCCCACCGCCGTGAAGCGCAATGACCAGCCAAGCACTCAGCCCCAATCACAATAAAAATAAGTGTTACTTACTCAAGAAATGTAATGTCATGTCTGAAAAGTGAGCTATGGGTTCAGAGATTCTGTTTTGCTCACTTCTGCGTCCTCAAGACACAGAATGAGCTGCGCATTAGAATCGCTTGGAACGACTGCCGGACTGCTGGGCCAAATTCCCAGTTTCTGATTCAGAAGGTCTGGGGTAGGGCTCAAGAATATGCGTTTCTAGTAAGTTCTCAGATGCTGATACTGCTGGTCCAAGGATCAGTGAGAACCACTGAAAGCAGAGGTTCAGTGAGGACAGGCTGGAGTAACGTAGGGCACTGCCCGTTCTAACACTGCGGGAGGGAGGCGGCACCCTAACCCTCTCACCCTAAAACGCACCGGCCGGGTCAGGAACCCCGCCCTCTCTGGACAGCGTTCAGTACAAACGCCTGAAAAGGAGGAACGGGGGCCGCGTCCTGGGGTTCCGCCAGGCAGGTCGTTCTAGAAGAAAGCAAGCCACGTCCCAAGTCCCGAGAAACACCTCACAAAGGCGAGAGGAGGCCGAGCGGACTGGCTCCGCCGCACCCCAGCCCGGACATCGGGAGGAGACCCTGTCTCTGTCTCTGTCTCTCCCTCCCTCTCTGTCTCCCTGTCTCCGTCTCTCTGTCTCTGTCTCTCTCTCCCTCTGTCTCTGTCTCTCCCTCCCTCTCTCTGTCTCTCCGTCTCCGTCTCTCTCTCTCTCTCTCTCTCTATCTCTCTCTCCCTCTCTCTCTGTCTCTGTCTCCCTGTCTCTCTGTCTCTCTCTCCCTCTGTCTCTGTCTCTCCCTCTGTCTCTGTCTCTCCCTCCCTGTCTCTCCCTCCCTCTGTCTCTGTCTCTCCCTCTGTCTCTGTCTCTCTCTCTGTCTCTCTCTCCCTCTCTCTCTGTCTCTGTCTCCCTGTCTCTCTCTCTGTCTCTCTCTCCCTCTGTCTCTGTCTCTCCCTCTGTCTCTGTCTCTCCCTCCCTGTCTCTCCCTCCCTCTGTCTCTGTCTCTGTCTCTCCCTCCCTGTCTCTCTCTCTCCCTCCCTCCCTCCCTCCGTGCGTACACACGTGCACACACAGGTGTCACCCGCTCACCTGAGACATCGCTCACGGAAGGGACCGAGGAGCTCGGAGAAGTCCCGAGCGCAGACCTGGCAGGGAGAGAACGCAGCCCTGAGCGCACGGGCCGGCCAGGCCGGGGTCCAGCCGCCCGGCCCCCCACGGGGACCCCCGCGGCCGCCGCTCCCTCCCTCCCACACGGAAAGCGGGGCGCCGCGAGACGTCGCGCCGGGACCACGGACGGGCGCGCTTCCTCCTCCCGCGCCGGCGCCGCCTCCCCGGAGCCCCTCACCTAACGGCGGCCGCGGGGGAGCGCGTTGCCGCGGTGCTCTCGGCCAGGAGGGCGTGGCGTTCCGGGGCTCCGGACCCGTCAACGCCCGGGGCCATCCGGCGCAGACAGCGCGGGCCCCTTCCCTCGCCTACGGCGAACACAGGCCAGACTCGGCGCCGCCCCCGAGGGCCCCACGGCGGGAGTCGCAGGAGCCGCGTCTTCAGAAGCCTCCGGGACGTCGCCCCAACCAGCCGCCGGCCTCAAGAAACTACACTTCCCAGAAATCATGGCGGCCCTGCGCGCAGGGACACAGGGCTTTTTCCCGACTGAAACTCCCAGAACGACTCGCTGCCACGCCCAGAACGCCAGGAGACAAAGAACCAGGGCCTGGGACAACTACAATTCCCAGAAAACCCTGCGGCCTGGCGGAGAGAACATAGGGCTTTCCTCCCGGAGGGTCTCGGGCCACGCCCAGAGCCAAGAAACAACGCGAGACTCAGGGCACTACACTTCCCAGAAACCGTGGCCCCCGCGAGTGAGTACACAGAGCTGTCCTTTCCTACCCTGTAACTCCCCGGAGTGCCTCGCGGCCACGCACACAGCGAACCGAGAAACAACGTGGGACTAAGGCCACTACACTTCCCAGAAACAACCGCGGCCCCCAGGAGAGAGTACACAGGGCTTTCCTTTCCTATTTAACTCCCAGAGTGCCTCGCGACCACGCGCACAGCTATGCTAGAAACAAAGAACGCGGGACTCAGGCAACTACACTTCCCAGAACCAACCGCGGCGCCGCGAGAGAGGGCATGTGGCTTTCCCCACCCCACTACGATTCCCAGGGTGCCTCGGGGACACGCGCACAACACCGAAAGACAGAGAAGGCGAGCTTGAGGCAACTACACTTCCCAGAGTCTCCTGCGACCCTGTGCCAAAGAGCGGAGGGCTTTCTCCCCCTACTACTTCTCCCAGAGTTCCTCGCGCCAAGCGCAAAGCCAAGAGACCGCGCAAGGTTCTGGCGACTCCATTCCCCAAACCCTCTGCGGCCCATGCGAGAGGGCATGGGGTTTCCCTCCCGTACTACGACTCCCACAATGCCTCGCTGGTGGGCACACTCTGCCCAGAGACAAGGAACTGGAGACTCAGGCGACTACACTTCCCAGAACCCACCAGGGCCCAGCCTGCGCCAAGACCGCCACTGTTAAACAGCTAGGGTTTGTTTTGTTTTGGTTTGTTTTTGTTTTTGTTTTGAGACGGAGTTTCGCTCTTGTTACCCAGGCTGGAGTGCAATGGCACCATCTCAGCTCACTACAATCTCTGCCCCCTGGGTTCAGGCAATTCTCCTGCCTCAGCCTCCTGAGTAGCTGGGATTACAGGCACGCGCCACCATGCCCAGCTCATGTTTTGTATTTTTAGTAGAGACGGGGTTTCACCATGTTGACCAGGATGGTCTCGATCTCTTGACCTCGTGATCCACCCGCCTCGGCCTCCCAAAGTGCTGGGATTACAGGCTTGAGCCACCGCGCCCGGCGCCCAGCTAATTTTTTTTTTTGTATTTTTAGTAGAGACGGGGTTTCACCATGTTGACCAGGATGGTCTCGATCTCTTGACCTCGTGATCCACCCACCTCGGCCTCCCGAAGTGCTGGGATTACAGGCTTGAGCCACCGCGCCCGGCCGCCAGGGTTCTTTAGAAGGAACGTGGAGTCGGTCCTGCAGTCTAAGACTTTTTACTACTGCAAAGGGGGTCCGGATCCAGACTCGAAGAGAGGATTCTTGGATCTCGCACAAGAGAGAGTTCGAGGCGAATCCATAAAGTGAAAACAAGTTTATTAGGAAAGTAAAGCATTAAAGACCTCCGAAGGCTGCTGGTCGCACATTTTCATGGTTATTTTATCTGTTCCTGAGTCCCTGTCGCCCAGGCGGGAGTGCAGTGGCGCGATCTAGGTGACTGCGGCCTCTGCCTCCCGGGTTCAAGCGATCCTGCCTCCGCCTCCGGAGAAGCGGGGACTACAGGTGTGCACCGCCACACCCGGCAGATGCTTTTGTATTTCTAGTAGAGATGGGGTTTCACCGTGTTGGCCAGGATGGTCTCAAACTCCTGACCTTATGATCCGCCCGCCTGGGCCTCCCAGAGTGCTGGGATTACAGGCGTGAGCCACGGCGTCCGGCCTGCTTATTTCTTGATTACATGCTAAACAATGGGTGGATTATTCATGCCTCCACTTTTTGGAACGGACAGGGTCGCTTCCTGACGTTGCCATGGCATTTGTAAACTGTCATGGCGCTGGCGGACAGGGAGAAGCACCGGAGGCCGCTCTCATCGCCATCTTGGTTTGGGTGGGTTTTAGCCGGTTTCCTCACTGAAGCCGCTTTCATCAGCACAGTCTTTATGGGGTGTGCCTGGTGCCAACCTCCTGTCTCATCCGGTGACTAAGAACGCCTTACCCTCCCGGGAATGCAGCCCGGGGCCTCAGCCTTCTTTCACGCAGCCCCTGCTCAAAATCGAGTTGCTCTAACTGCCTCTTCGACGGGAAATGCAGCCGTGAGCTCCACCCGAGGTCGCGCCCGTTGCCGTCTGGGTTTCGGTGCGTTTGGGCCGGTTCCTTAGTGTAAACCTTCGTCGGCAAGGCCTGTATGGCCTGTATCTCGTGCCGGCCTCCCACTTCATGCGTGGCTCAGGATGCCTGATCGTCGTGGAAGACGGCCCAGCCTGCCTCGGCCTAGTTTTACCCAGCGCCCGTTTAAGATGCAGTTGGCCGGGGCGGTGCTCACGCCTGTAATCCCAGCACTTTGTGAGGCCGAGGCGGGCAGATCGCCTGAGGTCAGGAGTTTGAGACCAGCCTGGCCAACATGGTGAAACCTTGTCTCTACTAAAAACACAAAAATTACCCAGGCGTGGTGGCGGGCACCTGTAATTTCAGCTGTCTGGGAGGCTGAGGCAGAGAACCCGGGAGGCGGAGGTTGCAGTGAGCCAAGATTGCGCCATTTGCACTCCAGCCAGGGTGACAAGACTCAAGCTGCATCTGAAAAAAAAAAAAAAAAAAAAAACACCAGTAACAAAAACAGGATGGAATTGCTTTGGTTCAAACAACTGACACTTCGGCTTCAGATAAATGTAATCACCAGAGTCCTTCCAACGCTCCCACAGCGGTCTCCCGAGGATGCGACGCCGAGTCCCTTACGGCCTTACGGAGCGGCCCGGTCTCTATCCGGTACCGGCACAGCCACGCTTCTCTCTCTGGGAACCCCGCCGCCCACCCCCAGCAGTCTCACGGTACCCGAGAAGGAACTCAGCCGCTGGAGCGTTTTACCCGAGAAGGCAAGCAGCCGCTGGGGCAGTCCTCGTTTTTCGCGTGCTCCAGCTCCAGCCCTTCCTCGGAAGCCGTCTGGAAGGAGGTGCTGGATTGCATCCACAGGGTCTGGACGCCCAGGGTCCTGGGGGTGCCATTACTCCCAGTGTTGTGTGGGGCACTGTCCTGGACGCGTAGGAGAGGTTTGGGGACGCCAGCCAGACACCCCGTCCTTGAAGAACACCAACTCCGAGCCACTTGGGAGGGGGGGAGAGAAGCTGTAGTGCTGAAACATGACGTTAGGGAAGAGCCAACCCACTGAATCAAAGGAGTACTGTTCCAGGTCGAGGCAACAGTTTATGGAAAAGAGACAAAAAAGAAAAACAATCCATTATACAAATGGAAGAGAGCAAAACAAGAGGAAATTCACTGGCCTGGTGAAAAGACGTGAGTGTGAAAAAGGGAGTCCTTGTGAAGGAACCTGCATGTTGCTCAGTGAGCCGGGAAGACACGTTAACGCTCTAAGGAGGATGTGCATGATCGAATTTGCATTCTACTGCCTGTGTTGAGGGTGAACTGAAGAAAGGAAGATCACTAGAGGCAAATATTCTGGAGACTAATCGGAACTGATGCTGAGAGAATGGATTCAGGGGACTGATTTAAGAAACAATTTAAAGGGAGACTAAAGGGGTGGGTGAGGAATTGGATATCATCCAATTACATGAAAGGGAAGGAAGAGCCAACTTTCTTGTTTGGGTGACATGCTTACGGAATTTCATTCTTTAAAGCCTCTTATACCACGGTCGTCCGCTCTTAGGACTTCAGCTTCCGGTTACACTGCAGGTGACTTACCCTGTTCTCTTAGCGATTTCGTTTCACTGAGGCAATGAACCCAGGAAAAGAAACAAGTTTAGAAGAGAAGAAAACTGATTTGGGACATGTGGAGAATGACGTGTGTGTTTAACCTTAACTATTAATATTGTACAGATTATCATTTGTAACCTGGAATCCTGCCAAAGATGTCACTTCATTTTCCCATATCTTTTCCTCACACCAAAGTCAGCCTGATTTTTATAAAGCAATTCTGCTCATATTCTGCTTAACATAACTTGATGACTTCTAATTGTTCTCAAGTCAAGGCCGAAAGTTCTAACATGGTCCACAGACTGCATGATCTTCTCCTATCTTTTCAAGCTTTTCTTATGTTACTTTCCTCCTCTCTAACTGCACTTTGTTTCCTCAAGTGTCATGTGCTAAGACCTTTGAGCATGTTAATTCTGTCTAAAATAAAAGCTATCTATCCCTTCACACTATAACTTCATTAGTTTCAGGTCATCCTTTGTATTTCAGCCCAAGCAAGTCTTACTCAGAGAAGCGTTCTCTGATCCCATCGTAATCAACAAGGTCCCGATGATTATACCCTAGACTTATTCTCTTCAGCATGTACTTAACTTGCAATTACATGTGTAATTATATACTTACATTTTGTTAGTGATTACATCACTAGACTGTAAGCACTATGAGTCTAGACATTATTTTGTCCATCATTGTACCCATAATGACTACTACTGGTGATCGGTTTAACTTTTGCCATATTGTGAGGTAAAGTGATACTTTAATTTACTCTTTATGAGAACATGAAACTGTTTATTGACTAGTGTCTATCTTCTGTGAAATAATGGTCATAGCCTTTGCTATGAAACATTTTGCTATGAATCACTTTTCTATTAGGAGCCCTATGTTTTAATTATTAATTTGTAGAAGCTCTTTATGTAGTGGGATTTTATGCCTTTTTGTATATATGTTGCAAATACGGCATATTCTCACAAATCATTACTTATATTTTCCCTTGTATATAGTGAGATTGTGTGCTGTAAGCTTTTTTTTTTCTTTAGACAGAGTCTCATCCTGTCAGCCAGGTCACTTCAACCTCCACCTCCCTAGCTCAAGCAATCCTCATGCCTCAACCTCCCAAGTAGCTGGGACTGCTGGCGAACGCCACCGCACCTGGCTGATTTTCTTTCTTTCT